ATCCTGAGAGAGAGCCCAGGTACTGAGCCCCCAAGGCCACCCACTCAGCAAGGACTGCCCGCCCACCCCCCAGAGAGGAACACAGGAGAGAACCAGGAGAGCCCCACCAGTAACCACACGCAGAACCCACAGGGCCAACAGCTACGACCCACAGGCCCCGCCAGCCCCCGCCACACCGGAGCAGAACCAGGCATGGGGCCAGGGGCAGAGTCCACCACTAGCAGAGTGCTCTCAGGTGAACCAAATGAGGGGCAGCCCGAGTCCCAGCCTGACAGATACCCAATCATACACAAACACAATCACACAGTCCCACCCTCATTCTCACACCCACTCTTTCAAAGACAGACAAGATGAACGCCACACCCCACTCATACTCCCGATACACACTCTGTACCCCCGAGGCCCAGGTCACGTACCCACCACCTACAAAGGGCAGGCCATGTCTGAACCCAGGAGGCAAGCCCATTCATTCTGGGGTGTGGAAGAGCAGACAGCCAAGGCCTAGCCTGGGCTGCACCAGGCCAGCCGGCTGGCCACCCGCCACAGCGAAGCAACACCAGCGACCACCCCCACACACCGCCAACGGCCAAGAGCACACCCCCAGCCGACCACCAGCCAGACCCCGGCAGCCACCCCAGCCAGCGGGCCAACCATGGCAACCAGGGGCCACAATAAGAGAGCCCGAACAACCCTGGAGAAAGCAGGGTATTTTCTGATGTTTCTTTAGATAATTTTAGTCCCTATAAGAGAGAGATGAAGAAAAGTCAAATTTCAAATTATATTGTTTTAATAAACAAAGACAAGATAGTTTTCTTTTTTAAAGAGTTTCCCTTTGATGTCCCTTCCTGTTTCCCTTTAGCTGAGCCAAATTCAAAGGAAAACATGCCAGTTATGTGACAAAATGGGTAAATCACATGTTTTATGCCAATTTTCCTAAATAGGAAGATATTTTCTATACCTTTTTTTATTTGAAGGATAGGCATGTCACAGGCACTTTAAACCCAGCGACCATAAACTACATCTCCCATAATGCATGTTGATTATTTTCCTCAAGAAACAATGGCATCCTTCCATAGGTGGAGATGCACAGGGTTAAAAAGTAGAAATGGAGCTTTTATATCGCAAATTTTGACAGCTACTTCAGCTGTGGCCCAGTTGTACTGGGAAGTGGGAATTTCCCACTTACAAGTATTAAATTTAAACTGGAACACTCATCCAGTGGGAATTCTGTCTGAAAGTGGGAGCGTTCAGAATTCACGATGGCAGTGACTCAACAGTGATCAAAACTCTTACTTTTAATATATTTAGATTTATATATTTAATAGTACTTTTCAGTGTTTARAAGAGGATGTGTTATTGTTTCCTAGAGGTGCTCAGCCATGACACTTTGTTGCAGCCGCCATAATGCTCATGTGGCCCTCAGTGAAAATGAGTTTGACATCCCTGAAGTAGTTTTTACTTGATGTGAACGCCTCTTCTGCTATTACACCAAATTTTAGTTTAATATCTGTAAAACTGACTTGAAAACTAAAGTCCATTCAGTGATTCACAAGATTTTTTGCTATCAGACCAACAATTAGAAACCGACAGTTAATGCCAAAGTTTTGGCCAAAATCTTGCTCAAGTGGCGCTCACGATCCTCAGCAACTATRTCACCACTAACTCAAAATCTGTCAGATATGAATTACAGCAATTATTTTGTGTTTGCTATAATTGATTTGCTGGAGTAACCATCTTGAATCGGATTGGCTCCAGATGGTAATTAGTTGTAGATTTACAGCCAGTGATAAGAAAATAATTTAAATCCTGCAGTGGTTCATGAGATGTTGTTAAAAACAGACACTCAAATGCAGACCCAGGCAAAAACAATATCACAGTGTCAAAAAGGGGCAAAAAGGGACCTCAGAAAATTAAAATAATAATGTGACTATGACACACACACACACACACACACACAAATACATTCATACATATATATATACACTCACTGGCCACTTTATTAGGTACACCTGTCCAACTGCTTGTTAACATGCCCAGCACTAGACCCACAGTGATGCTGT